GGGGTTGGTCTCCCTATCCGTGACGGGCTCGCAAAGCGTGGCCGGCGTTGCACTTCATCGACGCGCTGGGGGTGCTATCTTCATCCGTTGCGGGCTCGCAAAGCGTGGCAGGCGTGGCATTTCCTCGACACGACAGGGGGGTGCGCTGGGGGTGGTCTCCCTATCCGTTGCGGGCTCGCAAAGCGTGGCAGGCGTGGCACTTCTTCGACACCACAGGGAGTGCGCTGGGGGTGGTATCCTTATCCGTTGCGGGCTCGCAAAGCGTAGCAGGCGTGGCACTTCCTCGACACGACAGGGGGTGCGCTGGGGGGGGTCTCCCTATCCGTTGCGGGCTCGCAAAGCGTGGCAAACAATATGGCGTTGGATGACACATAGGGAAACATTCGCGACGAGGGCTCAGAACGCAGGATTGCACATATATTAAACACATAAACAAGCACATCATATTTAAATCAAGTATGTGGGTTTCTTCGGTGGCGTAATTTGGAAACTCGATTGCGAAATCCTTCCGGCACCGAAAGTTTTTGAAGGATTTCGGCATGCGCGCGCGACGACGCGCGCGTGTGCACTTCGTCCCATTTGTTGCAAGAGATGCGTGAACAAGTGTTATGTTAGAACAAAAAATGTCACCGCATAGTGCTTTTTTCTACAAGGGAACCTCAGGGGGGGGGAACTCTGTTGGCCTGGGACATTGTGATTTCATATTTAGGATGGACATGTGGTCAGAATCACATGTGATTTACATCGGACGCGGGGGGAGTGATATCGCCAGGGGGGGGTAGAGTCTATATTTCTTTTAGAAGGGAGAATCTATGCTCTGCAATTTAACTCCTGTTCGCAGTGAGTTGTCCACTCCACTGCTCGCGCAAACATCCCACCCACCCACCCGCAACTGGCTTGCAAAATCTCTTAAGACCGTGACGGTGGGTACCAAATGACACTTGGCAACGACAGCGGCGCCGACGACGACGACGACAACGACGACGACGACGCCGCCGACAACGACGACGACGACACTGACGACGTCTCCAACGACTTCGACGACGCCGACAACGACGACGACGACGACGACGACACCGACGACGACGACACCGACGACGACGACGACAATGACAATGACGACGACGATGACGACGACGACGACAACGATGACACCGACGACGACGACGTCAACGACGCCAACGACGACGACGACGACGGCGGCGGCGACAACGACGACACCGACGACGACGACGACGACAACGACGACGACGCCGACGCCGACGACGACGACGAAGACGACGACGACGTCGCCAACGAAGACGACGACGAGGGAGGATGGAGGACGACGACGGCGACAACGACGACAACGACGACAACGACGAGGGAGGAGGGAGCACGGCGACGACGCAAACTACAAAGAAGGAGGAAGGACGGCGACGCCGACGACGACAACGACGAGGGAGGAGGGAAGAAGACGACGACGACGACGACGACGACGACGGCGACGAAATAGGAGGGACGACGACGAGACGCCGACGACGGACGACGACGACGACGAGGGAGGAGGAGGAAGGACGACCACGGCGAAAACGACGACGGAAACGACCACGACGCCAAAGGGGACGACGACGACGAACACGAGGAAAGACAGATGACGACGTAGGCGACGACGACGACGACGCGGGAGGAGGGAGGACGGCGACGACGCCGACGACGCAAGAGCGCGCGCGCACGCTTTTGTTGAAAATCCGTGTTGCGAAACCTTGTGTTTTTGTAGCTTTTTTGGACACACGATTTTGAAATCCTTCCGAACTCGATGGGTTTTGAAGGATTGCGGCGTACGCGCGCGACGACGCGCGCGTCTGCACTTCGTCCGATTTTTTGCAGAGGATTCTTGCGACGGCACACGCGCAAGGGCGTTCGACAGATTTCGACATGCGCGCGCGCGAAGCCCGTTTGGTAGCATTTTGTGGAAGTCTTGAAAACATCAATGGTTTTCGTAAGATTTCGCAAGATCTCGCGTGTAAGCTTTTTTCGCAAATCAGTGTTTCGAGACTCTGTGTTTTTGTATGTTTTTGGGAAACTCGATTGCGGAATCCTTCCGGCACCGAAGGTTTTTGAAGGATTTCGGCATGCGCGCGCGACAACGCGCGCGCGTGCACTTCGTCCTTTTTTTTAAAAGGGATTCGTGAAAAATGTGTTATGTTAGAACAAAAATTGTCATCGCATAAGGTTTTTTACAAGGGAACCTCAGGGGGGGCAACCCGGTTGGCCTGGGACATTGTGATTTCATATTTAGGATGGACATGTGGTTATAATCATATGTGATTTACATAGGACGCGGGGGGGGCGATAACGACGCCGGGGGGGGGGTAGAGTCTGTTTTCTTTTTAAAAAGGAGAATTGGCTTTTACCCATGATGTGACACATCTCATGCTCTTGCAAACATCCCACCCACCCACCCGCAACTTGGTTTGCAAAACCTCTTAAGACCGTGACGGTAGGTTCCAAATGGCACTTGGCAACGACACCGGCGCCGACGAAGACGACAACGCCGACGACGATTACGACGACACCGACGACGTCTCCGACGACTTCGACGACGACGACGACAACGACGGCGACGACGACGACGACACCGACGACGTCGACGACGACGACGACGCCGACGCGGACGACGACGACAACGACGACGACGATGACGACGCCGACGACGACGACGACGACGCCGACGACAACGACGACAACGACGACGACGACGACACCGACGACGCCGACGAGGACGTCGACGACGACGACGACGACGCCGACGACGACGACGACGACGACGACGACGACGGCGCCGACGCCGACGCCGACGACGACGTCGCCAACGAAGACGACGACGGCGACGAGCGAGGAGGGAGCACGACGACGGCGACAACGACGACAACGACGTGGGAGGAGGGAGGACGGCGACGACGCGAACGACGAAGAAGGAGGGAGGACGGCGACGCCGACGACGACAGCGACGAGGGAGGAGGGAAGACGACGACGACGACGACGACGACGGCGACGCATAGGAGGGACGACGACGAGACGCCGACGACGGACGACGACGACGACGACGAGGGAGGAGGAGGAAGGACGACCACGGCGACAACGACGACGGAAACGACCACGACGCCAAAGAGGACGACGACGAGAACACGAGGAGGGAGGAAAGACAGAGACGACGTAGGCGACGACGACGACGACGACCCCCCCCCCCCCCGCGGGAGGAGGGAGGACGGCGACGACGACGACGACGACGACGCAAGAGCGCGCGCGCACGCTTTTGTTGAAAATCCGTGTTGCGAGACCTTGTGTTTTTGTATGTTTTTTGGACACGATTTTGAAATCCTTTCGAAACCGATGAGTTTTGAAGGATTTCGGCAGGCGCGCGCGTCTGCACTTCGTCCCATTTTTTTGCAGAGGATTCTCGCGACGGCACACGCGCAAGGGCGTTCGACAGAGTTCGACATGCGCGCGCGCGAAGCCCGTTCGGTAGCATTTTGTGAAAATCTTGACAAACCTATGATTTCCGTAAGATTTCGCAAGAGCTCGCGCGTAAGCTTTCTTAGCAAATCAGTGTTGCGAAGCCCTGTGTTTTTGTATGTTTGTTTGGAAATTCTTCACGCTTCGCGTATCCCCACCAGCCCATCTCCTAACAGCAACTCTTGCGCAGCATGCCGACAGTCGTGTTTGTCAGGCGTGTTCCGCCTGCCCCCGCATATCTCCCCTGGTCCTCCTTCCTCCCGCCTTCTTGTACATCATCCTTGTGGTGGGAGCGGGAGAAGGACGAGGCGGAGGAGGAGGGAGAGAAAGCGCTCCTCGTGGTTTGAGTCGTTTGGGGTTTCTCGTCCTGGTGTGAGTCGTTCGGGCCCTTCTTCCTGGTGTGAGTCGTTCGGGCTCTTCGTGGTGTGAGTCGTTCGGGCTCTTCGTCCTGGTGTGAGTCGTTCGGGCTTCTCGTGGGGTGAGGTGTTCGGGCCCCTCGTCCTGGTGTGAGTCGTTCGGGCCCCTCCTCCTGGTGTGACTCGTTCGGGCTCCTCGTGGTGTGAGTCGTTCGGGGACCTCGTCGTGGTGTGAGTCGTTCGGGCTCCTCGTGGTGTGAGTCGTTCGGGCGCCTCGTCCTGGTGTGAGTCGTTCGGGCCCCTCCTTCTGGTGTGAGTCGTTCGGGCTCTTCGCGGCGTGAGTCGTTCGGGCCCCTCGTCCTGGTGTGAGTCGTTCGGGCTCCTCGTGGCGTGAGGCGTTCGGGCACCTCGTCCCCTTTTGGGGCGTCTTGGGGGCCTCTTGGCGGCCCCAGTGGGCCTCTTGGGGGCCTCTTGGATGGAGCCTCTTGGGGCCTCTTGGGGGCCTCTTGGGGGCCTCTTGGGGGCCTCTTGGGGGCCTCGTGGGGCCTCTGGGGGCCTCTTGGGGGCCTCTTGGGGACCTCTTGGGGGCCTCTTGGGGCCTCTTGGGGGCCTCTTGGGGGCCTCTTGGTGGCCTCTTGGGAGGCTCCTGGGGGCCTCTTGGGGCCATCTTGGGGCCTCTTGCGCCCTCCTCTGAAGCGCAAAGGAGCGCTGCCCCCTGAGAAGGACAAAATGAGCCCAAAACCTTCGTAAAATCAATAATTTTGCTATGAAGGAAGAGGAGCGCGGCCCCCTGAGAAGGCCAAAATGGGGCCAAAACCGTAGTAAAATCAATGGTTTTTGCTTCGGGGGGTGAATTAGCGTCCCCCCCCCAGGAGGCCAAAATGGGGCCAAAACCCTAGTAAACTCAATGATTTTGGCTTCCTCGCCGAGGCCGTTTTGGACGCTCTAACTACCCGCGCCCCCCCCCGTCCAGGTCCAGGGGAGGGGGTAGGGGGAGGGGTAAACCCCTCCCCAAGAGGGAAGAGGGAGGGGTGGAAGAGGATCTGTTCTAGACCACCTACGCCCAGAGGGCTGGTGGGATTTGGAGTACGTGCGCGTTCATGTCCAGCATTGCTTCACCACGCCCCCTGAATCGCTCTCAGGCGCATGGGCACATGCTCGGGCAAGGATTCCGACGAGGAGGCTCTCTTGCCCCACCGCTTCGTCTGTGCGATTGGCATTTCGGTATGGGGACTTGAAGATGTACCTGCACATGGAAGCATTTACAAAGGGTTACATGATTCCGAAGGAGAGAAAACTGCGTAAACATAAATCCCACCAGCCCTCTGGGCGTAGGTGGTCTAGAACAGATCCTCTTCCACCCCTCCCTCTTCCCCCTTGGGGAGGGGTTTACCCCTCCCCCTACCCCCTCCCCTGGACCTGGACGGGGGGGGGCGCGGGTAGTTAGAGCGTCCAAAACGACCTCGGCGAGGAAGCCAAAATCATTGGTTTTACTAAGGTTTTGGCCCCATTTTGGCCTCTTGGGGGGGCAACCCTAATTAAACCCCCCCTCTTGTTTGATCGATCTCCTCCAAGATGGCCCCAAGAAGCGCCCAGGAAGCCCCAAGAGGTCCCAAGATGGCCCCAAAATGGCCCCAAGAGGCCCCCAAGAGGCCCCCCGGAGGCCCCCAAGAGACCCCCAAGAGGCCCCAAGAGCCCCCCCAGATGCACCCAAGATGCTCCAAGAAGCCTCGGCGAGAATGCCTAATCATTGATTCTACACAGGTTTTAGCCACATGGAGGCCTCTTGGGGGGGGGCACGGATTAAGATGACTCCAAGAGCGTCTGGGAGAGCCCAAAATGACCTCCAAGATGGCTCAAGATAGCCCAAGATGTCTCATAATGGCTTCCTCTGTGTGCTGCCCACTTCTCTGATCGAGGCAATTCCTCTGGGCATCGTTTCTGGATGGGCTGGTGGGGATTCGCGAAGCGACAACAATTTTCGGTGTTCCGCGCAGATCGCTTGGATCGGAGCTGGAAACTCTTGTCGGCGCCCCTGGCGCCGCCCCTGGCGCGTTCCGCGTGCCAGGGAGGGCGGGCCCATCGCCGATCCCAGAGATCCGTTTGGATTTCCGAAAGTTTATGTTTCCTCCTCCATGGGTACACGACTGCTTGCAGTAAGGCGCAAGTTTCATATCGCTCGCTGGCACGCAACGCCTGTTGTTCCCCATGTACATACAACACCAGGCTGCACCGTCTTGCGCATGATGATGTCCGAAAGGGAAAGCAGCATGTAGACAGTGCCAGCTGGGAGGACGCAGCAGCGACATGCGGCTCAGCGAAAGAGAGGATGAAAGAACAGGTGGGCAATGAAGGCTTCAGGAGGACCACATCGTGCCTTGAGGAAGCGCAGCCGGGTGGCGCGACATCGTGTGTGAGAAAAACGAAGATCGACCGAGGGCGACGGCAGAAGGAAGCGGGGAGCAAGGCAACAAAAACAGTAAGTACATGTTTCAGTCAACGGCTGCGCACCTCTGCGAGAGTGGGGCGCCGCCCCTGCTGACCTGCCCTCTCCTCCTCCAGTCGCTGCCTTCATTCCTCGCCTTCTCACCCCTCCCTGTCTCCCCTCCCGCTGACTTTCTTCATTTCCTGGAATCGCCTATCCATCATCCTTCTCGCCCTCCGTCTCGCTATCCTCCTCATCCTCTTCCTCATGATCCTCATGCTCCCTCGCCTCACGTCATCAGCCAGTATAGCAGTCGCAAGACAGCTCGCTGCCCTGGCGCCGGCCCGAACGGCGAGCATAAAATCGGGCGTAGCCCTTCAGAAGTTATCCCAGCCAGCCTGTATTAGATCCGTCGGCCTGTTCCTCCTCATCTTCGGTTTCGGTGTCCTCATCCCCCCCTCAAATTATCTAGCCCTTCTTGTCCTTGTATCATCCCTTCTACACTGCCTCCGACCTGGGCGAGGCGTGTTTGGGAGGCCAGCTCCAGGCCGTTCGGCTCTCGCTTCGTCAGGAGGACGAGGAGGTGGCTGATGATCAGAGGGGCTGAACCGAACGGTCATTCACTGTCCCTGGGTGCGTGGCTGAAGTGGAATTCCGCGATGCGGATTCTCGTTGTTGTTGTTGTTGTTGCTGTTGTTGGTGTTGTTGTTGTTGTTGTTGTTGTTGTTGTTGTTGTTGTCGTTGTTGTTGTTGTTGTTGTTGTTGTTGTTGTTGTTGTTGTTGAATTCTCATTCTTGAAGAATAATTATTGTTGATCCCCCCCCACCGGTGCACATTGATTTTTTTCGATTGAAGTGCCACCCCCGGGGCTCGCACCTTGTTTTTTTCTCAAGGAAAGTCTTCATGCTCAAACTGTGCCCCTGCCCCCCGGGCTACAACAACAACGGCTCCCGCCTGAGACTTCCTCGATTTTTACTCAGGACCCCCGCACCCGCCTGAGACTTCCGCGCAATTTACTCAGGAAAGGCGCTCCCGTCTGAGACTTCCTCGCAATGTAATCAAGACCCCCGCTCATCATGCCTGAGACTTCCGTGCAATTTTATCGTGGAACGCGCGTCTCCGCCTGAGGACTTCTTCGAATTTTTACTCAGGGCCCTCGCGACCACCCCCCCCCGCCTCCTGCCTGACATTTCCCGCGCAATTGACTCAGGAAAGGCGCTCCCGCCTGAGACTTCTTCGCAATTTAGTGAGGACCCCCGCTCCCGCCTGAGACTTCCGTGCAATTTGCTCAGGAACGGCGCTCCCGCTTGAGACTTCCTCGCAACTTAGTCAGGGCCCCCGCTTCCGCCCGAGATTTCCTCTCAATGTACTCAGGACTGCGCTCTCGCGTGCGACGTCCTCACAAATTATTATGGAGTCGCGTTTCGGCGCTCAGGAACCACGCGCGCGCCAAGGACGCCTTCACAACGTGGTATCTTTCCTCTTCCTTCTTCCTTCCCCCTCCCCTTCCTCCCACTCTCCCTCGTTCTTCTCCTCCTCCTCTTGCAGGGCCCGCGCCAATTCCAATGGCGGGCAGAGAGATGTACGCCCCCGAAGGATTGTCCGCCCGTTCCGGTTTGCCCGTACGTCTAAGCCCGCCGGCCCCAGCAAAGAAAATAATCCCCCCGAAAGGGGTGTGATCGAAGACGAAGAGGGCGGGTATCGAGGGTGTTGGGTATACGTGTTGAATGACTCGCGGGCAAGTAAGAGCGCACAGCCTTAAAATGGTTGTTGTTGTTGTTGGTGGTGTTGTTGATGTTGTTGTTGTTGTTGTTGTTGTTGTTGTTGTTGTTGTTGTTGTTGATGTTGATGTTGATGTTGATGTTGATGTTGAACTCTCATTCTTGAAGAATAATTATTGTTGATCCCCCCCCACCGGTGCACATTGATTTTTTTGGATTGAAGTGCCACCCCCGGGGCTCGCACCTTGTTTTTTCTCAATGAAAGTCTTCCTGCTCAAACTGTGCCCCTGCCCCCCGGGCTACAACAACAACGGCTCCCGCTTGAGACTTCTTCGATTTTTACTCAGGACCCCCGCTCCCGCCTGAGACTTCCGCGCAATTTACTCAGGAAAGGCGCTCCCGTTTGAGACTTCCTCGCAATGTAATCAAGACCCCCGCTCCCGCCTGAGACTTCCGTGCGATTTACGTGGGAACGGCGCTCCCGCTCGAGACTTCTTCAAATTTTACTCAGGACCCCCGCTCCTGCCTGACATTTCCGCGCAATTGACTCAGGAACGGCGCTCCCGCCTGAGACTTCCTCGCAATTTAGTGAGGACCCCCGCTCCCGCCTGAGACTTCCTTGCAATTTGCTTAGGAACGGCGCTCCCGCTTGAGACTTCTTCGCAACTTAGTCAGGGCCCCCGCTTCCGCTTGAGATTTCTTCACAATGTACTCAGGACTGCGCTCTCGCGTGCGACGTCCTCACAAATTATTCTGGAATTGCGTTTCCGCGCTCCGGAACCACGCACGCGCCAAGGACGCCTTCACAACGTGGTATCTTCCCTCTTCCTTCGTCCTTCCCCCTCCCCTTCCTCCCACTCTCCCTCGTTCTTCCCCTCCTCCTCTTGCAGGGCCCGCGCCAATTCCAATGGCGGGCAGAGAGATGTACGCCCCCGAAGGATTGTCCGCCCGTTCCGGTTTGCCCGTACGTCTAAGCCCGCCGGCCCCAGCAAAGAGAAATAATCCCCCCGAAAGGGGTGTGATCTAAGACGAAGAGGGCGGGCATCGAGGGTGTAGGGTATACGTGTTGAATGACTCGCGGGCAAGTAAGAGCGTACAGCCTTAACATGGATGTTGATGTTGATGTTGATGTTGATGTTGATGTTGATGTTGTTGTTGTGTGTTGTTTGTTGTTGTCGTCGTCCCACCCGCGACCCGCCCCGCGACCCACCCCGCGACCCACCCGCAACCCACCCGCGACCCACCCCGCGACCCACCCACGACCCACCCCGCGACCCACCCGCGACCCACCCGCGCGACCCGCCCGTGACCCACCCCGAGACCCACCCGCGACCCACCCGCGACCCACCGCGACCCACCCCGCGACCCACCCAAAACTTTCGGCGCCTGCGGCGGGCTTCTTTTGCATTCTTTCCAGGTGGAGTACCTGCGACACACCCGCGACCCAAACCGCGCCCGCGACCCACCCCGCGGCCCACCCAAAATTTTCGGCGCCTGCGGCGGGTTTCTTTTGCATTCGTTCCAGGTGGAGTACCTGCGACCACCCCCCGACACAAACCGCGCTCAGTGTACAAACCAAAAAAATCGGCGCCTGCGGCGGGCTGTTTTTGAATTCCTTCCAGGTGGAGGTGGAGAGCCCGCGACGCACCCGCGACCCAAACTACGTTCACTGAACAAGCCAAAATTTCGGCGCCTGCGTCGGGTTTCTTTCACAGTCGTTCCAGGTAGAGAACCTGCGGCCCAAACCGCCCTCAGTGTACAAATCAAAATGTTCAACGCCTGCGGCGGGCAGTTCTTTTCAATTCCTTCCAGGTGGAGGTGGAGAGCCCGCGACCCACCCGCGACCCAAACTACGCTTACTGAGCAAACCAAAAATTCGGCGCCTGCGGCGGTCCGCCGGCTCGACGCCCGCGTCGTCCGCGCCCGCCCCTCACTCTTATCCGCAATTGCGTGGTGCTATATAATCGTTCCTTTGTATTTGAAGGATCCGACTCGGCCTCACCAGTCAGGGGCCAATGTGTCGGAGTTTTGTTGCGAGGTCTGGTCCAGCCAGGAACTGGACCTCTATTCCCCACTGTAACTCATGAGCACCTCGTCGAGCCAAACATTTCTCCCATACCCTCACTCCTTTGTCCGACCGTTGTTCATCCAACCTGGCACTTCCCTCCTCCCCCCGCCGTCCTCTGACCACCGCCTCCCCCTCTGTCTCCTCTGTTCTGCTGCTCTGTTCCTCGCCCGCATCCTTCCTGTCTCTGTCAGGCGGGGGGGGCATGGAGCTAGAATCGGCGATACATCGCGGATCCGAGCGGTCCTGGGCGGGGTGGGGGATCGGGCCCCTATCGGCGATGAATGGGCGATTGGGAGTGGGTCGGTGCGTCCCCCCTGAGCCTATCCCCCAAGGATCCTCGTCGTTTGTTTTTCGGGCCCTAACTCGGCCCATCAGCGGCTGTTCGGTACGATTCAAGCACCCTTGGAACGCTCTCGGTGAGGCGCAGCTGCCAGGGAGCACCCGGAGGCTGGAGAGCCGCCAAGCGCCGGCGGAAACGCCCCGCAACCTCGAGCCTTGAGCCCGAAACGTTGCCTTCCATGAGCTTATCCCCCCCCTGCACCGCGTTTGCCCCCATTTCTCGGCGACCCGCCCGCGGTTCCGCGGGGGGGCGGGGGTCGGTCCTGGCTCCCATCGGCAGTAGCACCGGGTGCCACAATGGCCTGCTGCGCGCGGATGGGAGTGGAGGGGGCACTGTGTGGAGGGGGAGAGGGCGGGAGAAGAGGGGTAGGGCAGGCTAGGTGTGCTCGCGCCACATCTGACATCCTATCCCTCCCTCACATCCCTTCCTATAGCGCTGGTGTGTTCTCTATCTGCGGACGCGTGTCATACCCGACCAGGAACTACATCGCCCCAGCGAGGCACCCTGCGAGCAGCAAAGCTGACCTGTGGGACCTGCTGGGTAGGTGGGAACCGTGGGAGTTGAGCGACCTTTGGGACCTTTGGAACCTGGGGACCTCTGTGGCCTGTGGGGCATGCGGGGCCTGTGAGACCTGCAACACCTGTGGGACCTGTGGGACCTGCGAGACCTGCGGGACCTGAGGGGCGACCTGCGACACCGTGGTTATGTGGCACTTGTGGGGCCCGTGGGGCTTGCGAGACCTGCGAGACCTCTGGGATACCCGAGGCCTGTAAGAACTTGCACGCTGGGGCGAGAGCGCCATTCTGAACGACGGGAGCAAAGTGCCGATCCAAAAATGAGCCCCACGCTGCAACGGGAACACCATTCTGAAACCCCGAGAACAATAATATTGCAAAACATATAGGAAGTATAAATGTTCGAGATCCTGCGCATGAAGAAAGCCATCTGCGGAGTGGGCGGGACATCCTCCGGACAATTTCAGGGGAGAAAGGAGAGTGGTATTCATGCTGAGTACAGGTGGAGGGGGCGGGGGGAGGGGCTTATATCCCCCTCCCCTCACGTTGCCCCTTTATACCCCCCCCTTGCGATGCCCCTGGTCTCCCCTCGGACGGGGCTAGGACCGGACCGGGATAACTCCGCTCCAGAGCGTTCCGGAACGCTCTGGGAGCGTCCCGGCACGCTCCGGGAAGGCCGCGGCGCCCGAGACAGCCTCCCGAGACGCCAGACCTCCGAGACTCCCACTGGATCCCCGCCCGAGTGTGCCCTCGTCCTGGTCTCAGAACTGGGTATGCGCTCGTCGCTGCCGCTCGTCTGGGTTCTGCAATTTTGCACCGGGTTTTTTGCAATGCCATCAATAATTCGCCGCTCGTCCTAGACTTCCACGTCTGCCGCCCTCGTTCTGGGTTCTGCAATTTTGCACCGGGTTTTTTGCAATGTCGTGCAACCATGGTGCAAACATTGCACGGGCCTCGTCGGACCCCCATCAGAGCGTGAATTACCTACCCCGCTTTCGCTGCCAGGCAAAACCAAGTCATACCACGCGCCTCCCCGTCAAGCGGCCTGACCAGTACAGGCCGTAGTTTGGCATCGCTCGGCATCTCTTGGAAGCGAGGGTGGTCAAAAGCGAGAGGTAGGTTCGTTGTCCCCTTGCCCCCCGCGCCCCGCCCCGCCCGCGCCCCGGAGAGGACTGGATCCGAGAGCCGTCAGCAAAGCTTTGCGTAGGCATGCGAGCTTGTTGAATGCAGTTTTCGGCGCTCGATGTCGATGCGTCTCGGCCTGGGCAGTCGATAGGGATGTCTTCCGCCAGCGCTACAGCTACACTTGGTCCTGAGTTTCTTTTTTTCCCAGGGGTGGGGCTGAGTCTGAGGGTGCGCCCTCTGCGCAGTTATCAACCCAAACGAATGGGTCAAGCTGCAAAATCGGCTGAGCCAGGCTGCGGATGGTATGATCGCGTCCCTTTTCGAAATTTCGCCAACTAGCTCCACCCTGTCGCCGAATTCCTCTGTCTCTCATACCATGAGAGCGCCCCGCCCCGCCCGCGCCCCGCAGATCCGGAGGCACCTGAGCTGGTCCAGCGGCGGAGACGGGCCCCCGCGCCTCGGCGGGGAGGGGCGGCCTCTGGGCAGCCTGCGCGCAGCCGCGGGGCACCGATCGGGAGGCCCGGCGCCGCTCGGGCGCGCGTGCAGTGCGAAGGCCCTGCGGCCGGCACCGCGGCCACGACGACCACGACGACGGCCACGGCGACCACGGCACGGCGACCACGACGACGGCCACGGCGGCGCGGCCCAGAAGGGGCGACGACGGCGGCCACGACGTCCGCGGCAGAGGGCCCGAATGCCAGCGCCGCCGGCCCAGGAGGACGACGACGACCACCACCACGACGACAGGGGCGGGCGGTGGAGGGAGGAGGAGGAGGAGGAGGAGGAGGAGGAGGAGGAGGCGGCGGGGCGGCCTCTGGGTAGCTGCGCGCGGCAGCGAGATCAAGGGAGGCTTGGCATCGATCGGACGTGTGCATTTGTCCTCGGCGAGAACGGTCGACAAAGGCGCCCTCGAGGGCGCGAAGTTCTTCGCGCGTCGCGGTTCGGCTCCGATTCCTCCTCTTCCTCTTCTCCCCTGGGGGGGCGGCGCGAGAGCGCGAAGTCATTCGCGCTTCGCGCAGCACGAAGCGCGAGATTAGGCGCCCTTGGTCGAGGAGAGACCTTGGATCACCTTGCGAAAAGAAAAAGGCACGACGCCGAACAATGCACGGGGAATGGACGCCCGAGCGACGGCAAGGAGGAGACCCAGGTTTGGAGCGGGCTGCGGGCCCGAGGTGGCCCAGCACTGGTTCTGGCGAGCAGGAAGGGGGAGAGAGCTTCGAGGTTCTGGGTTCGGGGAGGTGTTCTACCTTTCTCCAGCCTCCAGCCTCCTCCTCCTCCTCCTCCTCCTCCTTCTCCTCCTCCTCCTCCTCCTCCTTCTCCTCCTCCTCCTCCTCCGTAGCCATTTGAGTTCAAGATGCCTTGTTCCACAGGGGAACACGTGGATACCGCCAGTCCGCGGCATGGTTTCAGTTGTGGGTCCGCATTGGCGCGAGGGGCGCGCGGATGGCGGGCGGCAATGGGCCTGGCGGCGGGCGAGCAGGAGGGCGCCAGCGCGCCCCACTGCCCCAGTCTGGCAATGGCGCAGGCACGAGGTCGCGGAAGGCGGGCAGCAAGTGGGGTGCGCCCGATGGCCCGACGTGGCAGTGCTGGACGTGTGGGCTGGGCGACCAGTTCGGTTTCCGCACCCACTGCCGTTATCCTCGCTGCCACGCGCCGCGCGCTGGAGGAGCCTGGTCGGCGGGTGGTGCTGGTGCGAAACAGCAGGCGGCTTCCTTGGCGGCGAAGCTCAAAGCGGTCGAGGAGCGCGAGAAGGCCTTCCCAGGCCAGGAAAGCGCGCGACCTTGGGCCAAAGGGCCGAGCGAGGTCGAGAAGTGCCTGCGCAAGAAGAAATGACTCGAGGAGGAGTGCGACTGCTCGTCGGGCCTGTGGGCGGAGGCGTTCGCTGAGAAGGCGGCGTCCGCGCTGACAAGGCGGCGCCCACGCTGGTCGCAGCGGAGGCCGAGGAGCAGCGGTGCCAGGCAGCGTTGCATGCAGCGCGCGCCAAAGGTGCTGGAGGCCAAGCAGGCCGAGGAGGCGGCTCGCGCGTACCAGGTCGAGGTCCAGGCGCGCGCCGCTGCCGAAGGACCAGGACCGAGCCTAGGTGTCGCCAACGACGTGGACGTGTTCCGCGTGCAGTGCGTCCACCTTGCAGGCCGAGTGGGCACCAGCCTCGAGGAGCTTGGGCTGGCAGCAGGCCTCACCAAGCTGGCGGCCGACCTGGAGCGGAGGGCTGCTGAGGAGGTGGCTGCAGCTCCTGCTGGTGAGCCACCTGCTGGTGGGGGCGATGCCGCACCATCTCCCGGCGCCCCCCCTGGGGCAGCTGCTGGCTGCCCCAGGGGGAGCGCCAGGAGGTGGAGGTGAGCCAGCAGCACCTGCGATGGCCGTGGATGAAGAAGCTCCACATCTCACCGAGGAAGAGGAGGCATGGCTTGCAGGCGCAGCAGCAGCGCCTGACGGAGCCACCCAGCCAGACCAGCACAAGCACAAGGCGTACTCACGGTTGACGAAGAGGCAGCGGCATGGGCAATGCGTTGCTCTGCGTGGTGCTGGAGGGTCCAAGGATCGGGTTCGCACCGTCCCTGTGGGCCCAGGAGGTCAGGCAGTTGCTGCAAGACTTCAACCTCGCGGTGCCGTGGAGCGCTGGGGACGAGGTTCGAGATGACAGCTGTGGTCCCGAGGTTCTCCCTTGTGCGCGTGGGAATGGCGGTCCGATGTCCAGCCAGGCAGCCGCGTGGAATCGCGGATCTGGGCCAGTTCAAATTGAGGAGGCTACGGACACGGATGCGAGGCCCCCTGCGCCACAGGAGGGCACGGGCAATTGCGAGAGGGCCCGCCGCCCTGGGCGCCGCAGCACCAGGGGCCTCCCCCGCTCGCCCCCTCGGAGGCCCAGCAGCGGCGAGCGCGCCCTTGGGAGGGCTCGCCGCGGCGCTGACAAAGGCGGGGAAAGAGCAGCTGCCGCGGCGCCGCGGGCGCGAGAAGCATGGCGAGGAGTGGCAGGTGGCCATTCTCAATTTCAACGCCTTCAGCAACTTCGACAAGCGCATGGAGGCGAAGGAAGGAGTTGCAGCGCTGCGACGCGGCGCTGTAGGAGCAGCGACGCGGAGGCCCAGGTGCGAACGGCAAGTTGAAGAGGACGGCGCACAGCAGCCATCGCCTCCGAGGCTGGAGGTCTCGGCACTGGAGGGCTGCTAGCGATGGTCAAGGAGATGCATGGTTTGGCGGAGCTGAGGGCGAAGCAACCAGCAGTGGTGGTGCCAGGCAGGATACACGCGACATGCTACTCGGGGGTGTGCAAGGGCGACGCCCTGCTCATCGACGTGTACCTGGAGGCTGGCGTTGGGCTGAACCAGAGCAACAGGAGGGCGCTGCTCGCTCTGGCGAGACGTCTCAAGCAGTTCAGGAGGCCGTACATCATCGGAGGCGACTTCAAGGTGGAGTGCTTCGAAGCGGAGGTCGCGAGGCCAGCGGTGGCGACGCGCGCCGCCTCGGGCAGGATCATCGACTTCTTCCTGGTCTCGCGAGAGATGCAGGCAGGTAGTGTGCAGGTGGTGCCTGGCTCGCCTGCGCCCCCCCATTCGCCCGTCATCCTGAAGGCCAAGGCTCTTTGAGCACGGCCGTGGTTTCAGATCGCGCGGGCGCCCAGGCCCTTCCCCATTGTGAGGCCGCCAGTCTGCTGCAGGTCTGATCAGGATGCCAAGCGGATCGAAGTCGGGCAGTCAGCGCAGCGAGTGCTCGATGGAGTGCGAGAAGGTGCAGCAGGAGATGCGATCATGGATGGTCAGCCCACGGCGTTGGCGGTGGCCTGGCGCAGGTTCCTCACGACAGCAGAGCAAGACTTGGTGGACGTAGTTCAAGCTGAAGGAAACGCACATCGGTTCGTCGGGCGGCCCGAACGCGCAGTCACCAAGCGGGCGCGGCAGACGGCAGTCAAAGGGATGCGGTCGCCAAAGATCACGGCTGAGGCGGCATGGCTGGCCAGGGCGGCCAACTGCCTGAGGGCGGCGGCGCAGGGCCAGAAGCCCGGGGAGAAGGCGGCGGCGCTGAGGGGCCTTCCACGTCTGGCGCGGGGCGCGCCGCAGCGGCTGCAGGCCATGGCTGACCGGGGGCAGGCCCCCAGCGCCCACCGCGCCGCGGGCTTGGCTGGAGCCGCACTGCGGTGGTGGAAGGTAGTGCAGGGCGATGATGTTAGCCGCGCGCCCGCCGAGGCGCTGCGCTGGATAGCAGAGCAGGCACGCGCTGATGCTCAAGCCTTGGCGCAGAGGGACCTTGACGATAGAGGGCGGCAGTTCGACGAGTGGGCCCAGCTGCAGTTGCGAGGAGGAGCAGGGGGGGGGGCTACGCGCCATTGCGCGCGCGCCCATCGGTTGGCAGGACAGCCCAGCTGACCAGGAGCAGGCGCGAGGTACACTAGCCAGCGAGGAGGTGGAGGTACGCCAGTTGGAAGACGAGTGGTGGAGGCTTTGGGGGGTCGGGCGCGAGCAAGTCAGCGCGCGCTGGCCCGAGGACCTGGGCGAGCGCCCTCCCAGGGCCTCAGTGGACGCGCGGAGGATGTGTCTGAGGACCTTTCGGCGCGGCACAGCAGCCTCCTTCGAGGGCATTCGTCCAACGCAGCTGCTGGAGCTGTGCGATGGGGCGCTGGAGACGCTGACCGACATCCTGATAGAGGTGGAAAGAGCAGCGGAGTGGCCCAGCCCCGCCACCAAAGTGCGCTTCCTCGCGAAGCGGCTGGGAGGAGCGCGGCCGATCGTGATCATCATGGCGTCGGCGCGGGCGCAGGCTCGCCTCGGGAGGTCCATCGCGCTTAATTAGGAGAAACGCAACGATTGACCCTTCTTCTGGGCCGCCCGTGGCCGCGGATGTGAAAGGGCGGCGCGGCGGCAGGCGGCGGAGTGCGAGTGGGCGACGGCCACAGGAGGCTAACAGCGAGACCCAGAAGCGCGGGCGCTGGCGCTCGCGATGCTCGACCTGCTGAAGGCGTGCGAGCAAGCACGTCACCACCACCTAGTCGAGGCAGCGGTCAGGACTGGCTTCCCGCTGTGGCAGTTGAAGCTACAGATCGACCTGCACCGCTCGCCCCGGCGGATGGCTCTCGGCGTTGGCGTGGAGGACCTTCAGGGGGACCAAGCGGTTTTGCCTTGGGGACGGGTTTGCCATGTTGATGCTCAGGATGCTGATCTTGGCTCCGTTGGATTGGCTACGCGCGGTGCATCCGACAGTGGGGCTCACGGCAGTGGTCGACGACATCATCGCGAAGAGGACAGGCAGCCTGGTGAGGACAGTGCGTGAGGTAGGAGATGCTGTCTTCAGGCTCAAGACTTTGCTGGGCGAGGCTGACCTGCAGGTCGCGACGAAGAAGTCGCGAAAGCTGGCAAATCACCCGGAGGCGCGCGCAGCTGTTGCGCAGCGCCTGAGGGGGCCGCTGGGCGCGATCGATGTCGAGCAGGAGCGGAACCTGGGCGTCGACTTCAGCGGCGACAAGAGGATAGGCAGAGCAGTGAGAGGGCAGAGGCTGCAGGCGGCGCAGCAGAGGTTGAGGAGGTTCGGAGTGCTCAAGAAGGGCAAGGTGAAGAGGAGGGCGGACAGCAGGGTCGCCAAGACAGGGCTGCAACCCAGTGTCGCGCATGGAGTGGCGGTGTCAGGCATGGCGAAGGTCGAGCTGGACATGGCTAGGAGCTTGGCCTTCAGCGCAACCCCAGCGCGGCGGGTAGGTCGCGCACGCTCTCCCTGATGCTGCAGCCTGGCCTGGATCCCGTCATCCACGCGACGCTGGCACCTGTGATGATGCTACTCCGAGCGCGATGGGAAGGTTGGGTCCCGTCTCACATGATGGACTTGTGCCTGTGCGACGACAGGGCCGCGAAGTGGGCGCACGTCCAAGGCCCGATGTCGGCTGTTGTGGTGACGTTGAGGCGCGTGGGCTGGCACGTCATGGACCACGAGCCGTGGAGGTGCCACGACGGGTCGATCTTGGGGCCCTTCGACACAGCCCCTTGGGTCGTCAAGAAGCTGCTGCTGAGAGCCATTGAGCTGTGTGGCAGTGGCAGCAAGTGGCCGCCTCGCCAGGCTGCGAGCACCCAGCCAGCGGCGGGGCCCCTGAGCCGCCAGCGCGGCCCACGACGCCGGGCATCGCCAGCAGCGTGCGCGAGCAGAGGGAGCCAGGGCAGAGAGTCAGCAGGAGGGCGAGGCTCACCGCGAACGAGAAGGGCCACGTAGCTTCGCTGGTCACCCACGGGCAGTGGCCGCAGGCGAGGAAGGCGGATACAGGCACGGTGGCCTCGGACGCGTGTCTCCTATGTGGGGCGAGAGGCACGCTGCTGCACAGGCATTGCGACTGCGACGCTTGGAAGGAGGCGCTGACTACGCCGGCTGCGATGTCCTCCCTGAGAGCCAGATCGGACACGCAGGAGGTGGCGCTGCTGCTGGAGAGGTGCTTGTGGCCAGCCCAGTCGGGCCTCTGCAGGCCCACGCCTTCCAGCAGAATCTGCTGGCGTGGACAGCATGATGGGGTTATGCCGCCAGGGGGGACCTACTTGGACGGGTCGGTTTTCGAGGTTGAGCACGATGGCTACGCGTCCGTGGGTTGGAGCCTAGTGGCGCTGAACCCTGATGGCGATGAGTACCTCATGTCGGTCGCGGGTCAGCTGTGTGAGCCGTACGTGAACATCAACGGCGGGGAGCTCATGGCCTTTATCATGCTGGCGCGGTTGGGGATGGCTCCCATCGTGGCGGTCGTGGACTCCAAGTACGTGTACAACGGGGTCATGAAGGCAGGTCGTGCAGGCGCCACGTGCTACTGCCACACGTAGGCACATCTGTGGCGCGTGGCCTGGAACCTCATCGACGACCTTGGAGGCGTTGGGGAGGCTGGTGTGCGAGCACGGTGGGTGCGAACACACCAGACACAGCGACAGGTGCGTGACGGAGCGATCACCGACCGTGACTGGCTGGGCAACAAGTACGCGGGCGTGGCAGCTGCGGATCGCGCCCAGCTGCAGGCCGAACGTAGCCTCGTGGACGGGGTCGCGATGTGGTGCGGCGCCGCGGGCAGCTGGGCCCAGGGCAGTGACGCGTGTCACAGGGAGGCGAAGCCACAGGGCGCAGTGGAAGGCCGAGCAGCGAGGATGGAGGACGCCAGCAACACGCGCGACCTGCGCGCAGCTCCAGGGAAGCAGCGGCGCACGCACCGCAGGTGGCAGAGTCGGCAAGGCGAGCGCCCAGGCCCCATCCTGGAGGAGGCGATGAAGGCGAACGGCGCGCTGAAGGTTCGCGGTCTGCCAGCCGATCGGATCGCGGGGATCGAGCCGCAGGTGGGCGCGCAGCTGGAGAGGAAGATGCCCCCGGTGGCGCGCCCCTGCTGCGGGGCCACGGGCGCGGCGCGAGCCGGCAGCTTCACCAGGCGCTGCGAGCCGCCCGCACCTACGGGCAGGGCGGCGCTGGCGAGGCTGGAGAACAAGCTGGCGCCCAGGGTGTCCAGCAGAGTGGCCGTCGAGGTGCACGACCTCGCCGTGGGCGGCAGCGATGCCACTTTACTGATGTCCAGCCAGCTGCCGCATGGAGTCGCGGTTGCTTACCAGTTCAAGTTGAGGAGGTTACGGACGCGGATGTGGCGGAGGCGGCTGGCTTGGCCTCGACGACGAGCGGGCTGGACGCGGCGGCTCCCAGAGGGATGGAAGAGCCGCCAGGTCGGCGCCACCAGGGGCCCTTGCCGCGGTCTCACCGACTTGCAGGCGGGGGCGAGGAGGAAGCGGCGGGCGCCGCTGCGGCGACCGAGGAGGCGGTGCGAGGCAAGGTCGCGTCGCTCCTCGCGTCCTACCGCCGCGGCTGCGCCGCTGCGGAGCCGCGCGGCGCTGCTCGGAGCCCCATCGGCGCGGGCGGCCTGCTGTCGGCCCACCCCTGGACTGGTAGCTCGACCAGAGGCTTGGGGAGCTCATGGCGCTGGTGGCGGCCGAGCCGACGGTCGATCCGCGAGGGGGGGCCATAGTGGGCGCCCCGAAAGGAACGCGCGAAGCCCCCGCCCCAAAGCGTTTCCCGCCGAGGCGAAGTCGTCGGAGCCGAGCGACGAGTTTTCCGCACCACTTCGGGGGCTCCGTCGGCCAGAGGCTCGCGTTGCACATGGCGTTGCATGCTGGGGCGGCGCTGGCGGCGCGGCCGAGGAGCGGCTCGGCGGCGCGCGGGCCTCCCACCTCGACATGTGCGTCGGACTCGGCGGGCATGGACCGAGTGGATCAACTTCTGGGGTGCCGGGGTGCCCTTCGGCGAGGTCGGCTCGACGTCATCCCCCCCTGGCCCGATTTCGGCGACGGGCGGGCTGGGCGCGGCGGCTCCCAGAGGGGTGGAAGAGCCGCCAGTGCGGCGCCACCAGGGGCCTCTGCCGCGGCCTCACCGACCTGCAGGCGGGGGCGAGGTGGCCAGGTCGCGTCGCTCCTCGCGGCCTACCGCGGCGGCTGCGCCGCTGCGGGGCTGAGCGGTGCCGCGGGCGAGCGTGCGTCCGACTCAGGGGCCCCCAGTGGGGCCGAGCCTGGCCGGGCTGCTGGATTCGTCTCGGATCCTGGCGGTGTGGGGCCCCTGGTGGTCTTCGCGGGGCCCGTTCCTGGGGTGCCGCCAGGCCCGAGAGCTTGGGGGTGAGTGTGGGTGTCCAACCCCGCGCTGCGGGGTGCTAGGTGCTCGCGCTCACGCAGCGTCGTGTCTCCTCGTCGCCTGGGGCCGTGCCTGTGCACGGCAGTGAGGCGAGACGGCGTGACCGTTCCCCTTCAGGCCGTGCGCGTCCCCCTCCTCCTCCTCCTCCTCCTCCTCCTCCTCCTCCTCCTCCTCCTCCTCCTCCTCCTCCTCCTCCCCTCTTCCTCCTCCTCCTCCTCCTCCTCCCTCCTCCTCCTCCTCTCCTCCTCCTCCTCCTCCTCCTCCTCCTCCTCCTCCTCCTCCTCCTCCTCCTCCTCCTCCACCTCCTCCTCCTCCTCCTCCTCCTCCTCCTCCTCCTCCTCCTCCTCCTCCTCCTCCTCCTCCTCCTCCTCCTCCTCCTCCTCCTCCTCCTCTTTTTTTGGACTTGGAGTCAGGATGATGTGCACGAAGCCCCACCCACCAGGAAAAGGAACACGAGAAAGGACAAGGGCAGGGGAAAAGCGTGCTCTCCTCCAGAATGCTCCGCGTGCTCCTCCTCCTCCTCCTCCTCCTCCTCCTCCTCCTCCTCCTCCTCCTCCTCCACCTCTCCTCCTCCTCCTCCTCCTCCTCCTCCTCCTCCTCCTCCTCCTCCTCCTCCTCCTCCTCCTCCTCCTCCTCCTCCTCCTCCTCTTCATGAGCCCCGGGGAGGCGTCCAAGGGCCTTCGGCACCAGGGGCGCCACGGCCACATGTGCGCCTCGGCCACGGGCTTGAAGCGCAGGGTTCTGAGGCATCACGCGCGGACCGAATGGCCAGCCGCAGGGTTCAGGGAGGGGAGGCGAGGAAGAGAAGGGAGGGGGATGAGGGAAGGGGGATGCGAGAGCAGGGAGGCTCGAGTGGCACCCTCCAGCACCACCATGCCCGACGCAAAGCGGACATTTAATAGCATTCGGCTTTCGCAATCCAGATCGATTCCGGTGTCCGAACTCATCTACGCCGACGACACCCTCATCGTTGGTGCCGAAGAGGAGTGCGTGCACCACCTGATGGAATGCGTACGCGAAGCCAGGAATAATTAAGGGTAGGGGTTCAATCGGGGCAAGTTCGAGGTGTTTTCCGTGGGATGCGACACGCACATGGCACGACCAGACGGAGCAGCAATCCCGCAGAGGGGCAGCATGGTCTACTTGGGTGGGTTGCAAACAAACAGTTCCATCTATTGTGCAAGATTCGGACGCATGCGAAAATCACACTGACCAAAATTGTGCGGATCTTCCATTCGTGCGTTATCTCAGTTTTGATGTACTGCTTGCACACCTTGTGGCTCAATAAGGCATAAATCCGCAAGTTTGGTGCTTTCCAAACGCGCTGCCTACGAAACGTGAGTGGCATTCCGCACTCGTTCATTAGCCGTGTGTCGAACGACGCTGTTCTAGCCCATTGCGGCTGTCAGACATCGAGCAGACAGTTAGCATACCAGCAGCGCGTGTTTGGGGGGAAGGTGGCCCGGCCGTCGGACAGCGCTTCCGACGCTGCGTCCTCGCCCCGAAGACATACTGTTTACGGTAGGTTTGCGTCGTGTCGACCAGCGGCGACCCCAGCGCGGGCGTTCAAGGTTGAACGCCGCCGGCGACCCAGAATCGATCGATGTTGAACGATCGGACGTTGCGGCAGCGGCCGATCGTTCAAGGTTGACCGATCCCTGCGGTGTCAAAAACCAACGCTGGGGTCGGCACGACACGAACCTGCCGTATCCTGTTTGGGAGGTCGCTGGAAACGCGGCCGGCCAAAGAGAACGTGGAAGCGGAATGCATTTGCCATGGCGTGCCAAGTGGCTGGCCACGAGGACTGATTGCTTCAGCGATGGCAGCGGAGCGCCCAGACGTGGCGACGTGCAGCTCGCAACTTTTGTGCGCAGGGTGCAGCGTGAGTGTTTCTTTCCTCCTGTCTGTATACTATTGCCGACGCACCTCTGACGTGTATGGCGCGCTTTCTCTCTCTCTCTCTCTCTCTCTCCATTACCACCCGCCCGACTGTCGCGGGATCTCGTTCTCGTCGACGCCGATTTTGGTCGCAGTCCACGCTGGCCGTCACCGATTTGCGAGGATGATTGACGAATTGGCGATGGCCAAGATGGACGTTGACCAAGATCTGCAGGTTTTTTTCTGCGTTCAATATTGGTCATGGTTACCGCCATTTTCCCTGCCCTTCCGTGAAAGGCCAGAGAGCATCGGGCCCGTCCATAGTTTTCGGACGTTTTATTGGCGGTTTTTGTTGGTTCCTGATGGTCCCTCGTTTTCGCTTGGTTCGTTCCCTGGGACCATCAGGTCGACTTAGTTCGAAAATGCAACGCACATATTGGGTCTAAGGCTCTAGTTGCGTCTTTTTCGCGATGCTGCCATTTGAACAAAACGTGAGGATCTCAGGGATTCCCCTGCCTCGGCATGCGTTCCAGCAGATGTGCCTCGCCCGAGGGCGTTCTAAGGGTGCCCGCATCGTCCCGAGCGGCCGCTGGAGACTTGAGTTATGATCCGAACGCCGAACGCCCCCCCCCCCAAGAAAGCTTCGGGTTCTTCCCCCCTCTCGGGTCGGACGACGAGGGGAAAGCGAGAAGAGGACGGTCGAAGTCTGGTTCACGCTGTTGATTTCTTCTCCGCCGCGGAGGCCTTTCCCTCGATGCATTCGCGCCTCGGTATCCGGGAAAATCAGCCGCCCTCCTTTTGTCCTCGAGTCTTGAAGTTTTTCGCCGCTTGGGTTTCGTGGGGCCCGACTTGTCCTGGGGGACGGAAGTCTTGTCTGCGGGGAACGCCTGGGGAGGTCTCTTGAGGCCGTCGAGGGTCCCTCAGTAGGCCCTCTTGGGCCAGTTAGGTGCTCTCTTGGACCGTCCTTGAGCCTCTCGGGGCCCTCATCGGCTGCCTTGTGGCCGTCTTCAAAGGCTCGTTTGGCCATATTGGGGATTTCTTGGGTCGTCGTTGGCCCCTGTCTGAAGCTGTTGGAAGCTATACCAGGTGAAGACGCACGCATTGCCGATTTACCCGACCCTCTATTAATCAGAGCGTGAATTACCTACCCCGCTTTCGCTTCCAGGCAAAACCAAGTCATACCACGCGCCTCCTCGTCAAGCGGCCTGACCAGTACAGGCCGTAGTTTGGCATCGATTGGTATCTCTTGGAAGCGAGGGTGGTCAAAAGCGAGGTAGGTTTGTTTGCCCCCTAATTAATATGAAACGCTAAACATACGTTGGGAGGCATGCAGCACTCTGAATGCTTCGCCAACCACTGTAGGGCCACGCGCATCGCACACATGCGCAACTCAGATCGCAAAAAGGACGGCGACGGCAGGCACGACAAGAAACCTAGGGCGGGGGGGGGGGGGGGCGGAAGTGGAGGATGAGGAGGAAGAGGAGGGAGGAGAACAAGGGGGATGGAGAAGGAAGGGGAAGACAAACTGGTAAGTTTGACTACCCACTCCGCTGGACCTCCCGGGATCCCACGTAAACTGCGACTGTTCCTGGGGAGCAGCGAGGCCGTATTGGGATCGGTTGGACTACCCACTCAGCTGGGCCTCCCAGGAGCCTGCGAAAGAGACGACAGCTGCGCAGTTTGCAGTCCTCAGGGAGCCGCGAGGTCTCGCCTGGATCTGCGCTGCCCTCACCTCCGCCTTGCCTCCAAGGAGCCCACGAAAGTGGCGATAGTTGCGCAGCCCGCAGCCCCCAAGGGAGCGCACAAGACTCAGGAGGGGGTAGGAGGAGGAGGACGACGAGGAGGAGGAGGAGGAGGAAGAGGAGGAGGAGGAGCAGGTCAAGGTCCTTGGAGACCACAGTGCTCTATTCAAAATGGGGGCCCACTACACGGGAAGGTCGGGAAACCTTTTAAGATAATACATCAAGTTGTTTACGTCAAGTCCCGCCACCGTGCTCGGGTTGTGGGTATGAAGCATATTGGATGTTCGTCTGGATCTCGTGGGAGGCCTCTCGGGGGCCTCTTGGAGACAGTTTTGGGGCCTCTCGGGGCCTCTTGGGGGCCTCTTGGGGCCTCTTGGGGTCCTCTTGGGGGGCTCTTGGGGCCTCTTGGCCTTGGGCCGTCTTGGGGCCCTCTTGGGCCGTCCTAGGCGTCTCTTGGGCCGTCTTGGGGCGCTCTTAGGCCGTCTTGGGGCTTAGGCCGTTTGGGTGCCTCTTGGAGGCGTCTTGGAGGCCTCTCGTGCCGCCTGGAGGCCGGTGTCGGATGTGTTGGTCTTCGTCGTGCCATTCTGGTGTCCTGCTGTTGCCGCCAAGGACGTTTTGGGGGCCTCTTGGACCGTGCTGAGGCCATCGTGGGTCACCCTAGGGCTATCTTGATGCGTCTTCGAGGCATCTTGGGCTATCTTGGCGGCGGTTTCCTGCCTCGGCCATCTTGGAAGCTCGGGAGCGCGGATTGATTGCGTTCTACCAGACCGCGGCTTCGGGAGCGCAGATCCGTGGATGTACAAGGTGTCGTGACCTCGTGGGCACGGACCCATAGCTTTTCGCAAGGGATCGTGGCTTCGGGAGCGCGGACCACGTGCTTCTTTACTCATGCCTGGAGCTGCACACCAGTTCCATTGCGTAAGCAGAGTACCATCTCCCCGTAGCACGAGCATTGCTGTCGGAAGAGCGTCGCAGAGCCCGACGTGTACGCACCGCGGGCCTGGTTGGTCCTGGGAGCCGGACCCTGCTCCCAGCACTCTCTTCTTCGTGTGCGCCTTGCCGACGGGGGCCCCGGGGACTGCAGCCGGGCGGTGTCAGAGTGCGAAGGGCGTGATGAACTGCGCCCTCACGGGAGCCTGCGCATCACCTGGGCAAGCAGGCTTGTCGGCCACGCGGTCGGGCGAGATATCTGTTTTTTAGTGGCCGAGTTTCGTGACACACACAAAACAAACACACACACACACACACACACACACACACGCACACACACACACACACACACACACACACACACGCACACACACACACACACACACACACACACACACACACACACACACACACACACACGCACACACGCACGCACGCACGCACGCACGCACGCACGCACGCACCAAAAACGCTAGCCAGGCAGCACGGTCTCTCTTTGCTGAGGGATGTGGCAGGGAAGGCGCGGCTCGCAGCAGTACCGCGGCTGTCGGCGATGGCTCCGACGCTCCTCCGTCCGATGGCAGCAGGATGCGAGCAGCCCTTGCCCGGTGTGGACCGCGAGACAGTTCGGGCAGCCCTCGAGATGGCATACCGAGCAGCATTTTGTTCAAGCGGCTTGCGCCTTTCCGCCGACCCCCATAGGGAGTAGGTGCTTGAGACAATCGCGGAAGGTATCTTATCTCTTGGGTCAGGGGCCTCCTGGATGAAGCTGAGGGTCTCTTGGGATGCCTCTCTGGGGCCTCTTGGAGAACTCGTGGGGGCATGTGCGAGGCTTTTGGAGACCTCGTGGGGGCCTCTGCGAGGCGTCTTGGGGGCGTCTTGGAGGCCTCTTGGGGCCTCTTCGAGGGCCCTCGGGAGCCTCTGGGGGGCTCGAGGGGCCATCCTGGTGGGAAAGACTCGAAATGTCAGTTCGTATTCCCCCTCTTTGGCTTTCTTGGAGCCATCCTGGGGCCCTCCAAGGGCTGCCTTGGGGGGGGGGGCCTGGGGTTGTCTTTGGGCCGTCTTGGGGCCTTCTTGGAGGCATCATGGGCCGTCTTGGGACGATCGTGGGGACCACTTGGGCCGTCATGTTCGCTGTCAAAACGTAAAGTGCGAATTTGTCGAACATGCATTTTTGTTCATCAGGGGATGAAATG